GTGCTTATTTATTTAAATTATTCAGGTTTATAAAAAAACATTTGGACACACATTTTATTATGTTCCAGTCATTTATATTTTACTATTGAAGTAATTCTTGCATGCTTTAATGAAAAAAGTAACGAAGTGGTTATTTTTCTTGGTAATTAGTTACTTTTATAATCTTGTAACTCAGTTAGTAACTGAGTTACTTTTTTGACAAAGTAATCAGTAACTATAACTAATTACTTTTTTAAAGTAACGTTCCCAACACTGATGAAGATACACAGTAAATTTAGTTCACAGTAAAGATGTTTGCTTCAGTTTAATTATCAGCTTATAAAACTACAAGGACGATGTTAAAATACAAACAGTTGTATGTTATTTATCGTGATATTTATCAAATATGGTTATATATAGAGAAAAAAATATATTTAATTATAAAAGAAAATTAAAATATTAAACACTCAAAAGTATCTAAAATTGGTACCGTTAAGTACCGGTATCGATTCCTAGGTACCGGGAATTAGTACCGAATTGATTCAGATGTCAAAGGTACCCATCCCTACCTGTGTCAAGTTTTCAGCTCATGCTTTTGCTCTGATTGGTGAACGTTGGTCTTGAGCATTCTGATATGCAACCCCAGTCTTTAAACTGGTTTTTGTGTTTGTCCCAGTGGGAAGACGGAGTATCAGGCCACTCACGGGGGCCGGCTGAGGAGGGCCAGCACATTCGAGAGGAGGCCCAGCAAGCGCTACCCGTCTCGCACACACTCACTGGGCAAAGGTGAGTCTTTATCAGCGCACGCTCAACACACAGGTGACCAACGACTCACGCTTAGTTCCTTACACGCCCTCATCAGTTATCACAAAGGTCACGCACTCTGGGAGAGGAGAAAAAGCATCAGCCAGCGAAATCACGGGTCCATTCAAACGTTTCCCCTAGCAGAAAGTCTAAGTGGTGACGTAACTAGCTGAAATAAAACAGCGCTGGTCTTTTCTTTAAGGAAAGTGCCCCAAACTGCAGCGATTAGAAGCGAGCGTCACCTTCCTGCTTTTGTCTGCAGCTCCTGCTGCACTCCTCCATGTTTCCCTCCTCCTGTGAGCTGCAGAGGCCCGACAAGTTCAAAGCAACAGACTTGCTTTCATCTTTTCCATGTAAACGGCTGCTGAATGTATTTACCCGACCCTGTTGGCGTTCCAACTCCTTTCAGATTTAGATTCACCATTTACCACAAGAACAGAGCAAAAACTCAGTTTATATTATAAATAATTTGTATATATATATTATAGATATTTTATATCTCTTATTTTATTGTTTACTTTATTCATTGGTTAAATATGTATACACGCATTATACACACACTCACATGCACACACGTAGAAAAATAAAAAATAAAATACTTAGCACACACATTTAGGAATGTATATACCTTACATACTATAAATATTATTACTTAGATTAGCCATTTTTATACTTTGATTGTTTTTACGTTATTGTATTTTGCACAACTGTTGCTGTGAAGCTCGCACACAAGAATTTCACTCACATGTACTGTACCAGTGTACCTGCACATGTGACGTGACAATAAAAGCGATTTGATTTGATTTGTTTATTAGCTGAGCAGCATCTTTATTCCAGTGTGAAAATATCCATTATAGAAATCATTACATGCAAACCATCACTGACAGAGGAAACATTTCTCTGTTTTTAAAATAAAATGTTTACTTTCACGGTTATTTACATAATTTTATCAAATATAAACATCCGCTGGTGATCCATTCAGCCCTGAGGGTGTAAACCGCGGGAAATGCAGCAGGAGGGGGAGGAACCGCAGGAAAAAAATCACTGCTAGCAGGGGGGTGGCCCAACACAGCCTCAGTGACAATAGTAATGATGATGGCTGGGTTAGTCTGGGGGAAGAGGAACAGTATTACAAGTGGATCAGGCATTTTGATGAGCCAGCTGGATACTGTGGAGACAGGGATCTGTCAAATTCAGAACACATTGATTTTCTGTCAGTTTTTTTGGATGAGGAATTCTGGACCCTCATCACAACTGAAACTAACCGATATGCTCACCGGTATTTAGAGAGGGAGGAACTGAAATCTAGCTCCAGATATAATGACTGGTACGATGTAACTGTCCCAGAAATGAAAGCGTTCATTCAGTTCTGCATGGCGCTTGTGGAAAAGCCTGAGATTGAGGATTATATATATATATATATATATATAGCGAACGCACCATTAGCGAAGCGGAAGCCAACATATATATATATATATATATATATATATATGTTGGCTTCCGCTTCGCTAATGATGCGTTCGCTATATATATATATATATATATTTATAAATATATATATTTATATATATATATATATTTATATATATATATTTTTATATATATATATATATATATATATAGCGAACGCATCATTAGCGAAGTGGAAGCCAACATATATATATATATATATAGAGAGAGAGAGAGAGAGAGAGAGAGAGAGAGAGAGAGAGAGAGA